GAGGAGCCGGAGGCGGTGGGCGAGCAGCTCAGGCGCGCCGGGGCACCGGGGGGAGCCGATGGTGCCGGCGACGAACGCAGCAGGAGGATGATCCGCAACCAGTACCGGGAGCTCATCTACATCATGCAGCGTAAGTCGGGGCAGCTCCCGGCGCCTGTGGCCTGCTGAAGTCTTGGGCCTGGAGCTAGGTGGAAATTTGCCTTCCTGAAAGCGGTTGTGGGCCCGGGGATGGGGAGGTTGTGAGGGTTTAACCCGCGCATAGCGCCTGTGGTGCGTTGGGGCAGGGGAGCTGTCAGCGTTACACCTGGCTGCGTACCTGAAGCCTTTAATTTTCCCTCCGTGGCGTTTGAGCTTTGATTTGAAACTGCAGCTCCCAGTGTCTGCCCGGAACAGAACGTTATTCCCAAGCTTTGCAGAGTGCAGTAGGGCTTTTAGCGTCTCTCTAGGGAGGTGTGTTAGTGCCTCCCCCTGACAGCCAAACTCCTGTTGGTTAAGTAAACACTGATGAGTTTAGCAACATGTGTTGTTGGTTGTTTTCTGCATGCTTGCTGAATTTTTAGGGTTGTTTTACAACAGGGTAGAATGTAATTTATGGGTGATCTGGGCTGGGTTTCTTGCGGAAAGCCAAGGGCTGGTGTGTGAAAGCCACACTGGGAGTAACTGTTCAGACTTGAACGTCTGAAAGCCATGTTAAATCATATGTCTGCTGTTCAACAGAATCATAGAATGGGTTGGAAGAGACCTGAGAGATCATCTAGTTCCAACCCGCTTGCCATGGGCAGGGACACCTCCCACTAGAGCAGGTTGCTCAGAGCTCCATCCAGCCTGGCCTTGAACACTTACTTCCAGGGGTGGAGCATCCACAGCTTCCCTGGGCAACCTGTGCCAGCGACTCACCACCCTCACAGTGAAGAGTTTCTTCCTTGCATCTAATCTAAATCTTCCCACTTCTAGTTTGAAGCCATTACCCCTTGTTCTGTCACTACAGGCTCTTGTAAAATGCCCCTCCCCAGGTTTCTTGTAGGCTCCTTTCAGATACTGGAAGGCCAAAAGAAGGTCTTCCCCGGAGCCTTCTCTTCTCCATGTTGAACAACCCCAACTGCCTCAGCCTGTCCCAGTAGGAGAGGTGTTCCATCCCTACGACCATCTCTGTGACCCTCCTCTGGACCTGCTCCAACAGGTCCATGTCCTATAAGTAACTGTATTTGATCTACATTTTACATTGAAGTAAATGGAAAATCACTACATCAAACTGAGTTAATGCCTACACATGAATAAAAGCAGAGCCTGTGTGATCTTGCAATTAATGCCCTATAACTGTGTTCTGTACTTTGGTGTGTATGATGGGCTATGAAACAGCCAGGTTTGATTAAGGTTTAAGTATGTATTTCTCAATGCATCTGTATTTAAGTGATTTAGGGTTTAATTTGTGTTCCTTTCCCCCTAGAAAATCGTGAGGATATGCTGAGTTCAAGGAGCGACAGGCTGACAGAAGCTTTGGAAGAAGCCAATAAACTGTTTAGTGGAGGTAAAATGAATTTTGTGCTCCTTATTACTATAGGGAGTACGTGTGTTAGAGATCATTGCCATAAAATGATTTACAAAGGTCTATACCCAGAGTAGTCTGTATGTGAAATCTGATTTTTATCTCTTTGACAGTGTCCCACTATTGACATAAACCCTTTCCTGTCACAGTGTCCCGTGCGCGAGAGGCTGCGCTGGACGCCCAGTTTCTTGTCCTAGCCTCAAATCTAGGGAAGGAGAAGGCCAACGAGTTGCATTCTGAGATGACAGCATTTGATTCACTAGCATTTGCAGAAGACTTGGTAAGTTCCAGACTCTGAATTTGCCAATGTTTCTTTTTGGAGGTTATAGAATCCAAAAAGCCTGAGATTGTCAGGCAGTATGTGACCGTACTGATTGTATTTAACACTCTTCCCACAAATTTCTTGATTAGCTTTCTGGTTAGTGTTGTTAATTGTTTTAAATGAAGCATTTCCAGCATGCATAGGAGGAAAATCTAACTTAAAATGCAAACATACCCTGCCCACCTTGTTGCATTGCTGCTACTTTGTCACAACTCAGTCAATTCCTGCTCTTTCTGTTGTGTTACAGCAGATTAATGAGGAGTCTGAGGCTTTGGTCAAGTGTAGAGTGCTGCAATATAAACACCCGTTGAGTTCAGTTATTTTATGGGACTTTTTCCTTGGGAAGTCTGGCTTGGTGGATGCAGGGCTGGGAAAAATGAGACCTCTTAAATTTATAGTGCAATTAAAGTCATGCTTCGCTACTTCCTATGGCACTGAAACTCTGTTGGAATGTAGGCAGTTTTATTTACCTGGAGCTCTTGGGTTCATTGTTTGCTGCTGCTCCCTGAACACAACAAGTCTGTTATGGGGGAGTTTTTCTGGTTTCAGGGGAGTCAAGGTTCTTATGTGGTGATGCTAAATATTGATCTAGCAGGACAAACACCATGATGCAATACTTCACTGTCAATTTGTCTACTGATCTTCCTCTAAGTGAAATTAGATCTACTGGTCTTCCTCTAAGTGAATCTTTCCTCTAAGTGAAAACTCTAATAAAGGTTTGTTTTTTTTTTTCTTTTGTAGCTAACCTTCATGGGTATAAATCGCATTGAAGAAGAAGATGATGATGATTCTGAAGGTATTCCAGGTGGCTATTTACCTAGTAATGCCTGGCATAAACTGGGAGAAGAAACAGAAAAGTACTTCAGAAGAGCACCTTCTTTTCACTATATGTAAGTTTATTTAAGGAAATACTGCAGCACAAGCTAATGGCCTTAACTGATTCTTATTTTTAATGCCCTGGGCTTGAATAGAGTTTAATCTGGGGTCACAGAGTGCCAACAAGAACTTCTGTGTGGTCTTTATTCTTATGGGACAGTGAACTCCTTGTCTCCAAAATATGTCATAATATCTATCTTTGATTTTGATTTGGCTTCACTACAAAATAATATCACTTGTATCTAGCAGAGATAGCAAAGTATTCTTGATTTACCTGTTTCTGACCAAAACCAGAAGTGATCCTTTTTCCTTTAAAAGCTGAAATTGAGCAGTTGCAACTCACCCTATGTAGG